CGATGTATTAAAAAAATGCAATGTTCCAAAACAAAAAAGGTAGTCGCTCTGTCCAAAAATGGTGTCCAAACATGGCGGATTGGCGACTTTGACTTGAGTTAGTTTCTCGGTTACAAAGATTCAGCAGTTGGCGTAATTTCGTCATAATTGGTATGTTATATTTAATAATTGTATTAACGTTGGATAGTCAAAGAATGATAAAAGAATTTGAAAAATGAAACAATAATTGCCTTTGCCAATACAAAATACCAGTAAAGTCAATTTTTTCAAGTCCAGTACACACTTGACCATTGGGACAGAATTGTTGGAAAATTAAAATTTTTTTTTTTAAAACAATATTTTTAAAACAAACAACTTGATGGAACGAATCATGAAAGATTTTTATTTTTTACAAAATGAAATACATTGTTTTCTATGAAATTGCATTAGAAAAGATTTCTAGCTCATCAAAACCTAAAATAACATCTTGTGAAAATTTTCGAATGAACTCATACTGTTCCACTCGACTATGCCTAATAATGACTGCTAAATGTGAATAAAGTACTAACTGTAAAAAAAAAAGTACATAAAGAATGTTGATTCAGGTGAAAGGGTGATTGATTGAATTTTCAGTTAACAATTTCTTAACTTTAAATATATATACAGAAAAATCACTCTTGCCTTTAAGTAGGAGAATATCAGCAAGCATTTTTTTTCATAGAATTTACGTTTCGAAACCTAGTATCGGATGGAATAAGTACCAGCTTGTAGGTTAGTGTAGCTAGTAGTTTATTTTGCGTTTGTATGAAATGAAATGAAAAAATAATTTTATTCTGTGTCTACTGTCCCCTAAGAATAATAACAGAGTTACAAATTTATGTATCTTAGTCTGACATAATAAAAATAATTCCTGTTTGTACTTACCTTACACTTCGATTATTTTACATAGTTATAACAATGAAAACCAATGATCTGTAAGACTGTACCAAATTTAATTTCTTTAACATTTATTTGTCCATATGTGAGACATTTCAAAGAAAAAATCAATAACTTCTCTTTTATTAAGACCTGAAAATATTCGTGAATACTAATTATTTTTTTTAAAATCATTGAAAATGGCTCATTAATTTGTGTATCTAAGGGATGTATCTAAGGAGTAGAGGAGAACTGAAGAAAATAGTAATTAGGCTACATTCTAGGGATGTTAACAAAGGATAAAATAGTACAAAAAGTCTAAGTCTGATTGGAATACTTTCATTTTAAGGTTGTTTTTTTTTTCATCTCTGAACTACTGTGCGCCGCTAGCTAGACTTCTCGCCCGGCCTGGTTCACTCTCAGGTCATGCCTAGGAGTCTAGGCAGTGCGCCTTGAGATCTATCATAGAGATAGGAAAATGCAACTCTGAGTACCGAGTAATAATTATTTTACTCGAATTGAATACAGTTTTTTAATTTATTTTATTCATTCCTATTTACCATCCATATTAACTTCACAAAAGGTTATTTTTAAATCTTAAATACTTTTCGAAATAATAATTTTGCAAAAATGTATGAAAAAAAACCAACAGATTTTCATTAAATGTTAAATTTCATAAAAATGTTCTTTACAATTTATCTGCTTAACAAATGATTTATATTTTAAATTAAAATTGAAAGAAAAGAATGGTAATGTCGAGTTGGAGAATCATCGTCTGACTTTATTTCGAAATTATTAAACATTAACCCTCCGAGGTGTCTGAAAGGAAGATGGCCTCGGGACCTTCTAATATAGAAATATAATTGGAGTGCTAAAAATGTGTAGTTTCTCTTCATGTTGTACATGTCATATTGCTTGTTCATATTTGCTTGTTGTATTTGTCATTTGATACAGTTTTAAATTTCTATAATAATAATAATAATAATAAATAAAAAAATTAAACATTGTCCCAGTAGACTACGGAAGCTGTATGGCCGAAACAAAAATGACGGACGACGGATTAAAAAAATTGTAATAGCATTTTTGTATTCTACGTATCCTGAAACATGAAGCCTCAAATTTTGAGGTGTTTAACTTTTTGTTCCACTTGGACAATTACCACGATTTGTTTTTGTATATGATAAACTAGAAACATATAAATTTATTTCAAAAGTAAAATTTACAAACTATGACAAAATAAAAAATACACACTACAAACTGAGACATGTTTTACCAGAGCATGAACAATACAAATCTTACTTAAAACGTTTTCATTTGTCGAATGCTGAAACATGTCACTGCGACGGACAGACTCCTCAGAAACGTCATCACATTCTGTATAACTGCCCTATTGTCTACTGTAATAGGTACCACATCTAATTCTAAAAGGAGATAATTGGCCGCTGAAGGAAGAGGAAATCTTCAAGAACTATAATAAGGAGATATACTATAAGCGGAAATTTACCATTGAAGTTGATCTTCAACTCCTCGAAGAAGCCTGACTGATTATTATAAATTCTGATTTGATTATAGGTATCCTTTTATTTGTTTTTGTATATGTATTTTTTCTGTTTTGTTCAATTAAGAAAATTATGAAGTTTACCATCACAATGTACTTTAAAAATTTATAAGATACGTGTAATTTTTCATGAAATACATGCATGTATTATGCTTAATGCATGGAACATGTAAAATTTAACAAATAAACTGCCCTTATATAGGGTTATTGTATGATGGAAGCAGATAACAAAAACTAGAAACATCCAGAGTGGCGTTTTACTAATACCCTTCAATATTTATATTAATGATCTGACAGCAACTAAAAGTAAAAGTGAGATCATACTTTTCGCAGATGACGCACAAGTGTGTTTCTTAACTGCGGGTAAGCAGATCACGTGTATCACATTAAGTTTCAGGCTGTATCCGTGTCGAAACAAGTCACTTTCAGTATGAAATATTCGCTAGTATTAGCATATTTTATTAGAAAAATTCCTTGGTTCAGATTTGCAATGCAACGTTTTTCATTTCAGTAGCACATGGTGATAAAGAATGAAATCTACATTAGTAACAATCAGTGAAAAATCTGAGCCTAAACACGTTTCAAGGATTCTAAAATTGAGATGCATAAAAGCGACTATAAAAATTAAAAATATCAATTGAAGTTTAACACAAAGGAGACTTGGACGGGGAATTATGTTGTAAAGGACTCCGACGAAGAACGTTACCGAAAACCAAAACTTCATATATATATTTTTTCAATTTTCCTTTCATGTATGGGCTAATAGGAAACAACCCGATGCACACTTGACGTCCGATGACATTAAATTCAGAAATTTAAGGTAACGCCTTGACACGCTTGAGGTAAGCCATATCGGTCTCTTGTAATATATAATACTGTTATAAATCATATATATTTTGGTACAGGTAACATATTTGTTGTTTGTAAAGTAAAGATTCTGAACTCGAGACAAATTTTAATCATCTGGAAATTAATAGAAAATAAACAATTTTTTTTCCACCTCTTTCTCGCCTTTTAGGCTGTACCGTGTTTTTCCTGGGCTAGGAGAGAAGGCGAAGAGGTTAATGGCGGAGTTAAAGTTGAAAATTCTTTCCCGGCTCCTGGATGCGGACCCGCAATTTCTTAAGTCCTTTAAACATCTGTTTATCAGGTTGCCAGTCAACACATGTTTATCTCCACTCCTTTGAATTAGTGCTTTTCTTTTCTTGATTTCTCTTCTCCGCTTCTTGTATCGCCATACTTATCTACAGCAAAGTGGGGTGTTATTTACATCACTACAGTATTTGTTGGTTTTTATGTAGTTAAGCCGCAAAACTTGTTGCAGATTATCAACACCGTTAATTAAGTTTATATATCTTTGTATTTGTAACTATATCGGCTAGTTATGCATAATATAAAAATATATAATTATAAAAAAAGGAAAAATAAGGTTACAGATATTTTTAAAAAATCCTTCTTCGGTGAAAAAATATATGACTTTGGTAAAGATTTTTTCACATTTCCCAAAGCAGTTGATATAATACAGCTGGTATCCATTTTTCAGTTAACTTTCTTATGTAAAAGGCGCAACTCTCAAAGATATGGGCCACTGTCATGCCTCCATTTACGAAAAGACGTTTCACAGCTTCGACAAACGGGCGGATTTGCTTTGGTAATTAAGTAAAGGTGCCTCCAACTATTCTGAGTCGCATAAGGAAGACTTCCTCTCTGCGGTTAATATGACTAGAACCGCTCCATGACTTTACTGCACTTTTTATTACCTACAGTTTATTCTGTTGTTGCATAGTGTCTGCCAATTTTGGTAAGGCCTCTTTTAGTGGTCGCGCCAGTTCGGACGCAGTTAAGAAGAAGGCTTTACTACGTCCTAGAAGGGTAAGAGCTTATTTCGCTACTCTATTAGCCATTTCATGTCCAGTAATACCCATATGGTCAGGTGATCAAATGAAAAGTACTGATGTTTCAACACTATTTAGAGGTATTATTAGTCCTTTAAGGGCTCTCAAAGAACTACAACCAAATTTACAGTTGGCGACTCCATCATAGGGGTTCGTGATTCATTTCTGAAAACATATTAGCTAAATAATACTAAATATTATCTATCAATACAATTATATTTTTTCCACGTTAATTTAAGATGTAAGTAAGTAATAGTGCGTATTTTATTCTAGTTAGTGTTCTAAGATTGCAATTAAAATCGTTAACAAAAAATGATTATACCTGAATACTACTGTGTTGTATGGTTTTTTATATCTATTAATGTAATATATTATAATTTAGTATGTGATATAATATAGGTTTTTGAACTTTTTTCTGATTTTATAGTTCTTTAAACAAAAAAATCAATACTATTTCCTACTTTACTTAGTTCTTGTACTACTATTTGTAAATAAATTAATACTTACAGTATGTCAAATTGTTGTTAGATATACTTACATTAATCACTGCATTCCTTGGCTATCATATTAATCTAATAATTAATTCTGTTGCAAGAGAAACATATACTAATATTCATACAGGAAATATTAGATGATTATTAAATGAAATAGGATTGTAACTTTAATTTTCGGTATAATTTTCGTTTATTTAATTAAAATATAAACAACTATTAAAATATTAGTCTAAGTTTAAGGAATCAAATTAAAAAAAAAAACATTTAGACTTTTATGATCTTGGTAAAAATAAAAACCTTTCAGTTATAAATGCATATAATATGCATCCAATATATACATACAGAAATTTCAGCATATTAAAATATCTGCATAATCAATATGATTTACTATTCGACAATATTAAATAGGTACATACTATTTTTAAACACATATTCGAAAAATCATTATAAGTCTAATACATATATTACAGTAACATATAAAATACTTTGACATTAATCTAATCTAGCTGACTATTCAAGGAAGTGCTCATTTGGCGGCTAGGTAAGGGTGCGCAGCCTACCTTGAAAGTCAATCACAGAAAATTATATACAGGTAACTAATTATTTAATCTTACTCTCTCAATTATTTTACATGTCGTTTGTACCTTCCGCATTTATTTATATTTTAAAATACTTTTGATCAAAGATATTTACGCGTACTAACAAGGTGCTAGTGGCTTGTAGCATGAGGCACAATATCAGGTTGAGTTATCTGGGCACAACCAAAAGAATCCCAGGCCTAGTATTCTTCTTGAAGCTTGTAGTACTAATAGCATGAAAATCTCAAAAGTTAAAAATTGGTAACAAAAAAGTCAGTTAGAGGGCAATAGCAGTATGTAGTAGGAGTCCAAGTCGTGGAGGGAACTGACTGAATAAATATCAGTTAAGATAGATCACAGACACTGTTGTACGCATGCGCTAGAGAAGGCTAATATCAGAGAGCGTTGGTGATGGCATCGTTATACTTGGTGATGACGTAGATGATGGAGGTTCCGGTGATGATGCCGATGTTTTGGAGTAGGAAGAAGACGGTAGCTTCGCCCTTGCTCTTCTTCAGCCTCTCTTTGACGGCCCCTTTCAGTTCCGGAATCTGCAAGGATGATAAATCGATTATCTCTTACAAATCAAGTTCATTAATGAAGACATAATACAAATTATCATTATCATTAATGCAAACAGGCAAACCAAGCTGTAATTATCGATGAGCAGAAACATTTTAATGAAATTGTATTATTGGAATAAAAAATAATTTCTTGTATAATAAACATCTCGATTAAGCTGAATGAATATTTTTCTAGCCATTAATTTCTAGGGTCTTGCCATTAAGTCAAACTGAGAGTATTTTGAGATAAAGTACGGTACTTCAACATTTCAACCTAGGCTTAAATCTAAACTGAAATGTTGTATATTTGAGTATAGCTCTCCAAATAATAACAAAAAAATAATTTTCCAGGACTGGAGCAAGTTTAAAAATGAAAAGAAACACGTTTTTTTAAATAAAAATTAGGCCAAAATACTTACCAATATTAGAAAAATTTTTAGCTGAGTTTAGTTAGCTCTTCCCATTTCGAAAAATGGGAAAAAAAAGTATTGTGAAATTGTATTATTGGAATAAAAAAAATTGCTTGTATAATTAACAGCTCGTTTAAGCACCCATAAATATAATAATAATCTCCATTAGGTTTTTAAAAACTAAGTATTGAATGTTTCTAGAGAAGAACGGATTTTAGTCATGTCTTTGGACGGCATCAAAAAAACTAATATGTGTGCTTTAGACCACAAGATAGAAGTAAAAGTTTTGTTTATGAACAAGACGAGATTAAAAATATGAAATGTAAATTATAAATAATAGCTGATTGTAAATAGGGTTAAGAATCTAATGCTATACTTTGCGGGATTTTCTCTTCGGTAACAGAATAACAGTAATTTGCTGGTTTTAAAGTTTACATCTTATTTAAGTAGCTTAAATAGACTGTAGTTAGACTTCTACAAATGAGTGAGCGAGAGATATATCTGGCTCACTAACAGTAAATATAATGGTTGATTCGCACAAAGGGGTTGTGCAGTATTAGTGTTGCCCAAAATGTGTCTTGGTTTTAGCCTGGCATTTTCAAGACCAAGACCAAGATCGCGTCTAATTGTTGCTACACAAAGACAAGACTGACCCCTGCAAGAACAAGACAGTCTTAGATAGACTGTAGTCTAGCGTATTGCCATAAGGTCTGAGTGTATTTTGAGATATAGTAGGATACTTCAACATTTCAACCTAGGATTAAATCTAAACCGGAATCGGTAGAACCAAACATTTTTCATTAGCTCTTCCCGTTCCCAAGAATGACAGTAATATCTCTATAATATGTAGTGGTAATCATTGGCACTTTCGGGAGGCGATTAGCCTCTCCCCCTCAATAAAAATAGAGAGGGGCGAGAATATTGTTTCTCTCACCAAATATTTTTAAGTAAGAAAATAAAGTCAAAATCAATAAAAATTATTCTACATGAAATTAGCGCAAAGTCATGACTTTTTTTTATTTAACTATTCAACTACTTTTTATTCACAATAGACCAATGTAATATGAAGATTTTTTTTTTTAATCAGTAAAATATTTAAATAAGTTGTTTACCAGATGAGCGAGGGATATATAGAGGAAGAGACCACCAGCGAAGGCGAAGACCAGGTGCGCTCCTTCCAGCTGACCCAGGAGGATGCCCAAGAAGAGGCCGATGAAGGCGGTGCAGGCGGATAGGAAGTTGTACAAAAGAGCCTTCTTCAGCGGCAGTCCAGACTGCAGCAGGATGGCGAAGTCTCCTAAAATGAGATCAACACGATGAATTGGAGCTCTATATCTTTAATATAAGTATATAAAATAGTCCAACAGTTATCTTATCATACTCCATAAAATTATTTTTAGCCTCACTTTTAACTACAAGTGTGATATTTCTCTTTCTTCCAATAAAACTATCATTGGTTCTTAAAAAGCAACAATCTAAGTTTGTTTATTCTGGGAATAATTATTCAGAAGAAGAAGTTCAATAAACGACATCGTGAACCTAATAATTTGGCTATAATTGGTCTATTTGCATATTTTTCTTCATTTTTTTTTTTTTTTTTTTTTTTTTTTGTTCTTCCCTACCTCACCTTTTAGGCTATACGGGATTTTCCCGGGCCGAGGGATGAGGGCGGGGAATTTAAAATCCCCTCCAGCACCGGGACGCGAACTCGTACTTTTTATATCATCTCAAATCTCTGTTATCCGGTTGCCAGGCAACTAGCGGTGCTGTGCACACGCTTTAGCCTATTCGGCCACCCCGCCCCCGTATATTTTTCTTCATTAAATAAGCACATGTTATTTCACTAAGACCCAAAATTAATTTAAGTACTGTGTAAAAAACAAAATTGTATACATAACAAATTATCCCTAATAGACTTCTGTTAATGAAGCGCTGAATCATGGATGCATTGTTAATTGCATCAGGATAAGTGACTGACCCAGCTCGTGAGGGAACTCTTCACAGGCGATGGCGACGCTGAGACCGAACCCTGTCCCAAGGGACTGTGTGTACCCGGCACCGATGGACATCCCGTCGATGAAGTTGTGGAGGCCGTCGCCCAAGATGATCATCCAGGCCACCGCGGCTATCTTCTTCCCTGACTTGATCCCCTGAAACATTATATCGTACAATGTTAGTCATAATTATAAAATAAAGTCATTGGAATGACCAAAAATGATCTAATTGTACATTAACAAATAAATTAATTATGAAAATATTTTTATCATTCAATTTTTTTAATAAGAATCAAAATCCTCATTATTGACAATCCAGTTTTCAGATGAAGTGGTTTTGATTTCAAATACCAAATATAGAATCCATTAGTAGCCACTGGATCCTCCCATCTAATCTTGGAACGGTTGAATATCCTGTACCATACATCTACTCACTAATTTTTTTTTTAATTATTAGGTGGCAAAATATACCAATATTAACACAACTTACTAACTTAAATGATGCTTATAGACCCAATTGAACGCATTTGGAATTTGTTTTAATATTGCATTAGGAGCCTTGTATCAATAAAACGACTTCAGACCTACGTTCTCCAGTGTACAGTAGATACGGATTAAAAAATTGTTTTTTCATTCCACTTATTTTAATATTTAATGGCTGCCAAGTCTTCGAAAAGGATGTTTGTAAGAGCAATAGAAGTGACTATAACTTTTAGACTAAGTTGTAAAAAAGTCGATAATGAAAAAATATTGTATTCATAATGATGTAGAGATGGTTGACCGTTGATATAATATAAGAAGGAGTTGATCGGGGGGTGCGGTCAAACAAATACTAAATAAAACAATTCATTAGGGTAGAGAGGAGGAGTTTAAAACTGAAGAGGTCAATGTGTCATCATGTGAAGAATTGTTGAACGAAGATGAAGAACAGTGTGAAGAGAAGTGATTAGATATCGGTGCTCCGTGATGAAAAGTTTCGGAAGGTTTTTGAAATCTGGTTCTGCAACGACGTGTGGGAAGAACAGAGAGGTTCTGATGTGCGGAAGACAGTTGTTGATGAAGACCTGCAAAGTGGGTCGAAACGTCTGCAAAAATTAAATAATACTATTTGTTTTATTTAGTATTTATTTGACTGCACCCCCTGATCAAATCCTTCTCAAAAAATACTATTACTCAATGGGACTTTTATCACAAAATTTAACTTCTTTCTTCCATTCTTACTGCCAGAAAAGAAGAAAATGTTGGTCTTTATGTTTTAGTAAACACCGCCCCAAAATATGAGACTGCTCTTCATAAAATCTTAGCATACCGTATGATAAACCACTGCCAGTACCTGGTGATTTACGATAGAACACATCTTAGTTATATCATAGCGTTTCATTCAGTCAATATAATTAGCTTACATGATCATGGCCGATCTGTTCTTCTTGTTCTTTTAGCTGCATTCTCTCTTCCACCGCTCCGTTAGACTTTAACGCCACCTTCTCCTTCAATTGAGAAAAAAATTTATTAGAATAACAATTATAAAAATCTAAATATTTAAAAATAATCAGTAAAGTAATAAAAAAAATCGACAATTATCAATAAATAATATATAATGATTTCCTAATGCTTTAAGGTGCATCGGAATACATTCATTACTAAGAGGGCAAAAACATAAAATAATAGTCGGTGGTATGATGGTTGACTGTAGTGAATAATTGACGAGAAGTTGGTATGGGGTCTTCAATAAAAAATAAATAGATTAAAAATAAATAAATTTATTTTTATATTCGCTGACGTTTCGGCCCAAAGGTGATGCCTTCATCAGGACTAGACGAGAATTTCTCGTAAGACAAGTTCTTACGAAGAACCTCCTAAAAGAAGTTCCAGTCTTACGGAATCTTTTCGTGATTCTCTCGGAATCTCTTCCCCCTATGAAGAACTGAACTTTGGGCTGAAACTTCGGCAAATATAAAAATAAATATCATTTATTTATTTTTGACTGAACACTTTTACCAACTTCTCTTCAATAAAATAATAGTTGGTTATTATTACTTAACATTTCTAAACAAACAAATCCTACCCATTTCTTGAATTATTGAAATGAAAATATTAATTTTAGAATAGGTAAGAACGTTTCTCTGTTCACCAAAATCATTATAAACCCGATTTTTATCAGTGTAAAAAGCTATATTCTACCACCAGATAATTTTCTTTTTTTTTTTTTTTTTTTTTTTGGATATATTAACAGTATTAATATAACAAAAATTGTCTTAGTTCTTAATCGTCAAACTCTAGGTTGCAATTCTAGAAACAATTTCCAACGAAAAAGTTCATTTGATGCATGGGCCAATTCCGAACGGAAAAGAAGTTAAGACCATTTTTTTATTGTCACATTTTTTATCGAATAAGAAGGATATGCTTAAAAAAATGTTCAAGATAATAAAATTGTAAGTAGACCATCGTAAAGTAGATAAACTTTCTTTGAGAAAAAAGTGATCAAATTTACTAAGGTCGATGAAAAAAGGAGTTTTCAAGAGGTCTGCTGTAAAGAGATATACTGCTCGTGGATGTGACTGCAGCAGTATATCGACCATATTACATCTCCTAAAAGTTTCTTTTTCATTGACCTTAATAAATGTAATCATTGTTATCTAAAAAAATAAAAAAAATCTTAAGAAAAAGATCTTAACTTCTTCGGAATAGAAATATTCCTCAAACGAACTTTTTGTAATTTTTGTCAAGAATTACTTCCTCCTTTCCTCCAGATTTTGGCGATTACGAACTGAGAGTATGATGAACTCTTATACGTTTCTTCAAATCAGGTATTCAATCGGGATTAAATCGCATAAATTCAGACCATCAAAAACAAAACTTACTCTGGAAACCTAAAAATTCTTACTGAATAGAGATATTAGAATGGAACAAATCAAAAATTACTTTTATTCTGAATCAAAATTTCGCCCAAAAATCAGTTAGAAAAATAAACTATTTTGGTAATAGCTCTTTTTATCACTTACTTCTGGTTTCTTAAAAGCGATTTTGGAAAATCCTTCGATGACGAAAATGGACCAAAGACTGAACCATGCGAAGAGGGCCGTGTGCAGGTAGTCGTCCGATTGGGTCAGCTCCTTCAGCCCGAACGCCTGCAAAAAAATTGGAAATTTGACTAATTAACATTAAATAAGAATATGTTTTTGTTTTTGTTATAAAATTTCTAATAAATGACAATTATTATAATTACCATAATGTTTGAAAAGGGTGGACAATTAAATTAAATTGTTTTATTTATTTTTTTATATTTTGTAGTACTTACATGGTTGTACAATAGGAAAAAAACGCAATGAACTGCGATGCTATAGACTGTAGTGGCAAAACGGGAACGATATTGATGTAAATCAAATTAATTATTACTTATATGAGTGACCTATACGGACGTCTTTCATTTTAAAAAAGTTAAGAAAAATCCAATTTCTGTAACATAGCTTCAATTTTGACCATTTCTAATTATTGTTTTTTAAAAATTTCTTAAGTGAAATCATCGGAAACAATGGGATTTGAACCAATTCAACGAAAATTGATTTTTTCTTCACTTTTTGAAAATGGCAGATGTCTTTAATGTGATGCATATAACATTTATGCGCGGTTGAGATGATTTTTTTCTAATAGTGGCAACTTTTCAATTGAACTGAAAATAAATAAATCATGTTATACTGTACATTTATTACACAATTTGTCGTGATTAACATAAATTTATACACTTATTTAAGTATATCGAGCATTCAACATTGTTGCATTATTCGTATTTTTTACTTATTTATTTATATCATTATTATTCCTTACTGCTTTAACTTCCCACTAGTTTCTTCTATTTATGCAATATTAACTTTATCAAAATTTTTATTTTACTTTATTTGTCTATAAGATAGACATATTTTCGTCGGGATAAATTTTCTGTCTACGAATTTACTAAGCAAATGTCTATTCAAGTCAAAGATTATTAATAATTTTTATTCATAATTCTTTTGCTTTTATCGATCCAGAAATTTACAACTTGTCGTGATTATGTTCGGTGGAAAATATAAAAATTGTATTTATTTATAAATTTGGTACATAATTATGTTATTAGTCGCTTTACGATGTTACTTATATTTAATTTTACTTTCGGAAACTCTCACGATAGTTTCAGCCGACCGTCATATTAAGTTCAGGGCCCAGATTTTCATGCAGTGAATCCACAAATTATGGCAAATTATATGCAAAATTGAAGTTCAAACTTCAACTACAGTCAATCATTCATGATTTTCATGGTTGACTGTAGTTGAAACTTGAACTTCAAATTTACAACTAGCCCTTAATGTTTATCAAAAGTATAGAAAGCGGTATACCTACATGCTAAAAAGTAATTAACGAGAACCGTTTACCGAATGTACGAGAAATGTTTACGTTTGATAGCTCAAATTATTCAGTCAGATCCCGAACGCGTTTTGACAAGATCTGGACTTAAAACAATGACAAATGATTGTATAAAGTGTGTTTAATCTATTAGTTAAAAGGTATGTGAAGATTTTTAATCAGACTTAAAATTGGCCTAGCCGTTTCCAAATGAAATTATTTTTATTTATTAAGATTAGAAGGCAAAGAACACAGATATATTAAAAACGTAAAGTATTCCAGTAAACATAACATTATTTTTAAATAAATAAAAATTTACTGTTGCTAAACCACTCAGCATGCTAATTACCCATAATCAATACCATTTGATAAAAGAGAACACACAGAATAAATTATTACGGGACCGCCATCCAACGTACCGAATGTTATAATTCATTCAATCACTGTTACAACTTTCTTCTAATTTTTCTCCCTCTCACTTTTATCCGCTGTGGCCAAAACAAAGCACCCATAATTAATACAGACGGTGGTGTAGGATGTCAATGAGTCTAAAATAATGGACTCTGCCATACTCTTCAGATGGTTCCTTACAAAAAAGCTCTTCCGAAAAATCAACAGTTGAAGGTGGAATCGCTCTTCTACTCCCGAACCTTATTTATTAAGCATTACTCATCTCTATTTTCTATGCACAAAGTATATACATAAATATATTACAAGTATGTTTGGAAAATATGTCCTTCGGTAAGTGCATAACTAATGATAAGATGATTGAGTATTTATAAATAAGATGGCTGGAGGAAAATACAAAATATAACCGGATTTGTTCTGAGAAAACATCTTCCTCTAGAGTGAAGTATGCTGAAAGAATGACCTCTAGATTCAGCGCCAGACCACAATTATCCTCATCCAGTAATTATCTATTCTGGACCGCTATATAAAAATAAATTAAATAGGCTCTCGCACAAACAGGAAAAGTTTTAGAAAAAAACATCTTGAGGAAAAGAAAATTCCAGGTTTGTGTGAATTTGAAATTTTATTCAATTTAGATGAGCATGTGCAAAATATTTCGTATTACCGAAACCAAAAATCAGTCATTAATCAAATCCATGTTATTACAAACTCAAGTTTTGGTTTTATGTGATTATTTCTCAGCCATGATTCATAAATTCTGTGAATCTATTTTCGTTTTCCTAAAAAAGAGTTATTCGAAATATTTTATTGAATTTAACTTGAATTGAAAACATTAATTTGAGTTTATACCGTTTTACTTTTATTTAATAAACACTTATATTTTGTGTAAGTTATCGGGGATAAAGAACGGTCAATTACTGAAGAAATAAAAGAAGATATGCTTAGGGTGTGCCCAATATTGACTTTCCTTATAGCTTTTCTTCCAATCTGCTGTAAGATTGTTTTTTTATATCTTCCTCAATATTCGTTCTATTAAGATATTTTTATTTATTTATTAATCGTTTGTTAAACATACATCTTCCGAAGCATTGCATGCATGGCTTTCTATAACACATAATTATAAGTGAACGTGTTTTCATCGAAGCATATACAGAATACTTTGAAAAATACAATTAAATAAAAGATCTGGTGTGTCCACCCACGTGATTTTGCCTTACACCCCACTGCTATGGGTACAAAATCTGATAAAAAAACGTTTTCCCAATTCCGGTTGATTTGAAAAATTGAAAAATTTATTTCAAGCTTGCCCTTTTAAAATATTTAATTAACATTTCAAAGAGGCTTCTTGGATTGTTCCGGAAGATGTTATGTTTCCAAGTTATAGTGTGTTCTAACAGTATCAAGGAGCTTGTCAAGCATTATCGAATAAAAACATTCAAGACGCTGGATTGAACTTAAATGTCGGAATTAATGGATAATATATTTAGATATAAATAAAATAAAAATAAGTAAGCTTAACTATGTTGTAATTGGAAAAACCCAAACAACAAAGCTATGAGTCTCTAACATATATGTAAATAGTTGACTTGTCAACGTTTCACCAGTTCAGGCTTAGGACCAGAAATTTTTTTTTTTTTTTTATATCTTCTGTTCATTATTCCTAAAAGTGGTGTCTTGAGGTTTTATTTGTTATGTAAATTAGGCCATTATTCACCAACATTTTATTTAATAGTTATTTTATTACGACGTTTCGACTATCACTAGGGCCATTTTGAAGTCTAGAAAATTATAATGTCATTATAAGTTAATATTAAACATTTACAAAAAAAATTGTTATTTTGTTCACATAATTAACTTATCTAAGGATCTATGGCATAACATTTTCAATACACATAGATCTGTATATTTTTTCTAATAAAAACCTTTCATGTAAGTAACTTTACTCATTATAAGCAATTGATTATTACCTTATTGAGTCCTCCATTAGATATTCCTTATTAATGTCGTATTAATTTGTTTTAAAAAAAATTTAATTGTCCTGCTATTTAAGAGTTTACCCTACGTCAATTCTTTTTATGTCCTACGTCAATATGTTTGGAGACTCATGGCTTTGCAGTTTGGATTTTTCCATTTATAACATAATTATCTTATGTCCCTTTTCTAGCTTTATACTTATTTTTACTATAGTAAGTGTAACATTTACTTTACTATTCAACTAAAACAAATTAGTCATGTTAGAATTCATTAGTATAATTAATAATATAATTTACAGTAAGTGACAGAAAGGCATACACTTATTTATGTCTATAAATTATTCATTTCTTCGATTGTAATATTAAATTGAACTGTTTTAACTCTTTATGAACACATGAAGGTGGGCCATGATCAAAAAATTAATTGTAGCCGATATCGTGCTTTCGGTCCTTTTCATTTTAACTGTATTAATGTGGCTCCATTCACGTTTATAGAAATATTTAAAGATCACCGAAGAGATATTTTTGCATTATTTTATAATTTTATTTCTCGACCCATACTTCAATATTGTCAAAAGTACTGACAATGTGTGAGTTTGCTGTCGGGAAAAATATGAGTATTAGCATTGATCGATATGAGGAAGAGGAGTGCACAGCAGCATCCTTTCCTACCTTGATTATTAGACCGTTTTCTTTAGAATCTTTATCATTTCGCCATTCCTAAAGCCATAATTTAAAATATATATTGTTATCAAAAAGTTTTGTTTTTACTTATTCTGTAAATTAATTCTCCGTCAGCTTTTATAATAAGTTTTAAGGTTTCTTCATTAATTATCTAGTTTAAGAAATAAGAAAATGTTTTCTTCATTTGGAATTTTCTTCATTAACATATAGAATTATATAAAAAATACGTTATTGATTCTTTATTGAATCAATTATTTAAAATTAATACAAAAAAAGTTTGTCAAGTGAGACCATTACAGCTTCCTCATCATTTTCACTAGTTACACATTTACCTATATTTCTAGATCAATATTTTTTTTTTGTAAAAAAAATTGGCAGAAAGTAAAAAAAAGTAATTATTTATTTCATTTCACCATTCCTGAAAAAAATAGGAAACAGCTCATTTCTTAAATAGTTCGATTTTTAATATTTTATACTCTCTAACACAAGAAAATGATCTTAATTTTAAGGTTGCTTACGTAATAAACAAACAATATAATACATTTCATGTATATTTATACAGAAAAAATTATCCAAAAAAAGTATCTATATATCAATATAAGTAACTGAAGATATTGGTAGGAGTACATTTTTGATGAGCCTTTTAGGTAATGTGACCACAAAGCCTTTTTAAAAATATTAAC